TTGCAGGCCCCATGTTCCGATACAACTGTAGCAATGTGTTCTTAGTGTCCCGGTCAGAATGGTTGGCAGCTGCACCCAAAGAAACAGTGACCATGCGCACACCGGTTCAACTTGTGTTCATTCACCACACGGCTTTATCGCACTGTTTTCATTTTCAAAATTGCAGCAAAGAAGTTAAGCAGATACAAGATCTACACATGATTAAAAAAGGTGAGTTCAGATTTGAAGGTATCTTGTTTTTATACTAACGAAGATTTTACAAGCACCAGAAGCCCATGGGAACTTGCACAGACTTGGATAAAACTGAAACGTCGAAAGAGATGGAAGACAATGGTAAAAACACAGACATTTAGGTGAATGACAAGCACTTTCAAAGAAATGATTTTATATATTTCAAAGCTAAAAGGAATCAAGTTAGCTATAACCAAGCTGAGATAGATATATGTGGAATGATTGACATAGATAGATAGATAGATAGATAGATAGATAGATAGATAGATAGATAGATAGATGTGGAATGACTGAGATAGAGAGATAGATGTTGAATGACTGAGACAGATGTTGAATGATTGCGATGGATAAATAGATAGATATATAAAGGGATAGATAGATATGGAATGATTGAGGTAGATACATAGATAGACGTAGAATGACTGAGATAGATGTTGAATGATTGGGATAGATATGGAATGATTGAGATGTGGAATAAACGAGATGGATAAATAGATATATAAATAGATATGGAATGATTGAGGCGGATAAATAGATGTTGAATGACTGAGGTGGATATATATATATATATATATATATATATATATATATATATAGATAGATAGATAGAGATAGATAGATAGATAGATATGGAATGATTGGGATAGATAAATAGATGCTAAATGACTAAGATAGATGTGTAATGATTGGTGGATATATATATATATATATATATATATATATATATATATATATATATATATATATAGATGGATAGATAGATAGATAGATAGATAGATAGATAGATAGATAGATAGATAGATAGATAGATAGATAGAATTATTTAAATAGATAGATAGATAGATAGATAAATAGATAGATATGGAATAATTTAGATATATAGATAGATATGGAATGATTGAGATAGATAGATAGATAGATAGATAGATAGATAGATAGATAGATATGGAATGATTGAGATAGATAGGTAGGGAGATAAATACGAACAGTGTGATAGATAGATCTTGGAATCTATAATCAACAAGAAGATTTTTGAACACCCTCACAGGAACGACCTTCTGTGCGATAACTAGTATGGATTTCGCCCTTCTAGATCCACAGCGACACACTATACAATAAATTCATCGCGAGGGCCATTGCTCTAGATTTATATCAAAGGTGAGCACCAGGGGCCCCTACATAAACTCTCCAGCTATGGAAACGTTGTAACAGCTTTCTCAATTATCAAGTCCTTTTTAAATGAAGGTCGTTGTTAACTAGCCAATCATCGAAATCCAACAAGATCATTTCCAGCGTTACTTAGGTTTCTCTCCTTGGTCATATCCTTGTTCTGTCATATATTAATGATATGCCTACGATCCTTGAAGATGATAGTTTATAGGTGCACCTAAAAAAACTGAAAGGCCAGCACCTATACAACTCGTCTCACCTTTGACCTAGCTCAGATGGCTCAAGTGGGGCGTTCTGTTCATTCATTGTTCCTGATCTGGCATCTCGTCTACTTTCTCAAAGACCTGCTATGACTTCCCTCTGTCTTTTCTACAAATATTTTCATGGCAACTGCTCTGACGAGCTACTTTCGGTAACCCAACTGCATGAATTTAAGCGTGCTACTAGGTTGGCATCTCGGTTCCCCCCTTTCACTGTTGAAACGGTTAAATGTAACCGCCTCTTCTACTCCAACAGTTTCTTCTGTCGCACTTCCCGACAGTGGAACTACCTTCCTCCTACTTGCTTCCCTGATAGCTATAATCTTCAAATATTCAAATGTAATGTCAATCGACATCTTCTGAAGCCTTGATCCGGATCCTCGCCCTTCTCTTTATCCTTTCCTCAAACAACCCTCTTTATTCTTGCTCTCATTCTTTGTAAGCCCCTGCGTACAAGTGGCACTCTCGCCTTGCTTGGGGTGAAATGTTTTTTTTTTTTAAACAATTTGTCAGAAGCGGAGTTTTAGTGTAGTTATATAAAAATGCGTGGGCGTGCATGTGAGCCTGCTATTCTGTTTATAAAGGTGCAAATGTTTGTTTTAAAGGCGGAAACAGTCATATTTTATAACAAATGTGATATGTTCGGGAAAGGGATATATTTGTTCGAAGTAGCAAAGTAGTTGTTGACTACTGTAACCGGGTAGGAGAATCTAGCAGGTAACCGTAATGGACTGGTCCTCGTCGTAGTGGTAGGCAATATGTGTAGGCAATAGGCGAAGACAATAGGCGTCGTCCTTGTACCTTCACATCAGTCTGTATTTATGGCTGACACCAGCCAATCATATTACTGTGAGGGGGGGGACCCAGGTGTATGCATATTCATTACACCAAAATGAATAAATGGTGAATTTGATTCAAGTGAAGTTCATGTAATTCCTCATTAAACTGAAACTTTATTCCTTGTCCATCATCTTAGCTAGTTAGCTATGTGCCATACGTGATATATGCTTAGGCGATCATGTATCTTTCGATACATGACTGGCCAGGTAGTAGGTTGCCATTTCTTTCTGCGGTAGACCAGTTGCCATCCAAGGCTATAGAACTCTGTCTGTCCTGCAATTTACCCATAGTTGGAGGGAGAAGAAGAGGATTCATACCTTTCCCAAGGGTATTAGCACGTAAGTGAATGTAATGGATTCGACTGGAATTCGAACTCGGCTCTCCGATTTCCCAATCCGAGCCGCTACCTAAACCAAATCTTAATCCTTTTGTTTAATTATATAAAATAGATATTTCGCTGAAAATATCCTAACTAAAAGTAATGACCTTTATTCCAGGAGATTTTTGAGTTCAGGACAGTAATGATTTTCAAATAAGATTTTTATTGTTTACACCACAAGCCGTTTCCAGGATCTAGAATATTTTCAGAATCCTTTAGTCCCAGAAGTTCTAACCTTCACGGCTAGCACCCGCCACTTGAGCAGCTTCTTTTCGCGAGCTACTGCTCCGTGGAACCGACTCCCTAGAAGATGCTTCCCCGATCATTACAATCTTAACCTGTTCAAGTCTAGGCTTAACAGTTATCTCCTCCACCTATCCGTATAAACTGTGCTCTACCTCGTGTGGCTACCGGGCCTTGTACAGGATGAACCTCATTGTAACAAAAATTCTTAACCCTTTGAGCCTTGCGTTCCTGAACAATTTTAACCCTTCTGCCTGAGCTCCTGAGTCAAAATTCGCAAGTAATTGGTATGTAATGTTTCACGGTCGATATAAAAATAGTTACAAGTGTTTACCCACCGTTCAACCGGTGGCTGGGGCTTAAGTCATTTTACTTCACCACTGTTAAACCGGTGGCTGGGCATTACGTCATTTATTCACTACCACCGGACTCAAGGGTTAATTCTGTAAAATTACTTTATATATTTGATAGGGAATAAATTTTAATAATGAATTATGGAAAAAGTCGTTAATATAATAATAAAAATAATAAACCATTAAATTTATATATTGTTCTTTTTTTTTTTGCAGGTTGGTCAGACATTGGCTATAATTTCATCATTGGTGAAGACGGTCGGGTTTATGAAGGTCGAGGTTGGGACAGAGTTGGGGCTCACACCCGCGGTTACAATGACAAATCCGTATCGATGACAATGATTGGTGAATACAGCAAGAGATTACCCAATGAGAAAGCACTGGCTGCTTTGAAAAACATCATTGCTTGTGGCGTTGACATGGGGAAGGTGACTAATGATTATCGACTTTACGGTCATCGAGATGCGAGCAGTACTGTCAGCCCTGGAGATAAACTCTATGCTCTCATTCAAACATGGCCGCATTTCGATCACACCAAATCTTTAAATGACTGAAGTTCAAAAAAGAAAGAAAGACTGAAAAGAAGGAAGAGACAAAAAAGAAAAAAAAAGAAAGAATTTTAAAGAGAACCAAAAATTTAAAAAGGACGAATGAATGAATGGATGAAAGTCTAAGAGAAAAAACAAAACAAAACAAAAAAAAAACGAATGAGCGAACAAACAAAGTAAGGAAAAAAAAAAGAAGAAAAACAAAAAAAAGAGAACCTTATAAAGGTGTTAAAAAAAAGGAAATGAATGTAAGTGAGTAAATGGAATGAAAAAAATTAATTTGAAGAAGAAAAAATGACGAAAGAGAGATGGATACATTTGGATAGATAGATAGATAGATAGATAGAGAGAGAGAGGGGGAGAGGAGGAGGAGGAGGAAAAAAGGAAGGGGTTCTTTGAGCTTTAAAAATATAAAACTTTATATATAATGGGTACACGTGTTTGGTTAGACATCCCTGACTTTTAAACAACGAAATTATTATCGTCTACGGGAATAGAGATCGAAAATATTATTAAATAAAAATAATGATATTATTCTTTAATAAGACTTTCGGCCTTTAGGCCGGTAGACATCAGTAATATACATTAATAAAAATAATAATTTGTCTTCAATAAGACTTTTGATTTCTAGGTAAACATTAATTTCACTGTTTAAAAAAATGCTTACTCAAACACATTACCCACAAGATAAGGCATAAATAGAAATAATGTCAGATGAAAAAAAAAGTTAATTGCTTATGAATATTTGCCAATATCCGTGGTACTCAAATCAAACTCAATGTTTACGGCCACATCACGTTGAAACACCGGTTTCCGGTTCTTGTACGACCACCGAAGTTAAGCAACGCCGAGCCTGGTCAATACCTAGAAGGGTAACCACTTTAGAATACTACGTGCTGTAAGTTTTGGCGGTGCAGGTGGTGTAACGGATAATGGCTCGGAATTGTTAATCGAAGAGCCGAGTTCCAATTCCAGTTTGTTCGTTATATAATCAGGCGCGAATATCCTTGTGAAAGGTATTCCTCCAGCTCTTCTCTCCCCAGCTATGGGTTAATTAGTAAGACTTGTATCGCTAAATCATTATTATCTTAAAAAAAATTCTTACAATCTAAAAATATTAAATAACCCGCAAAGGATTGATAAGCCGTACAAAACGAATCAATCAACAACCACTATTACCATTAAATTATTCATTTGACAATACCTGAGACTATTAATCAAAAT